TACTATTCATATTTCCAGTTTACCTCCCAAATCTGGCTTAAAAAAATCAGTTAATTTGGCCAACTAGTTACTACCTTGCTTTCAAAGAGTATTTCAGATCGCCAATGCATTTTATTCTTATGGCCATGGTTGCGACATATTTTTGTTTGCAATTAATTTGGTAATACATAAACAGAAATTCTACCTGGTTGCCAGAACACAATAGCTTATTTAATTCCATAGGCTTTTTATGGCCAACTAGGTTCTTAAGATGCTTTGAGAGCTAGTTCTTTTTGTTTCCTTTTCTTATCACATACTCAGAGCTACAACTAGAGGATGTTGCCGGGGGGAGGGGGGGGAGAGGGGAGGGGAAAGAGGGCGCGGGAGGGAGACTGTTGAGCTTCCACAAGAACATAAAAACAATAAATACAAGCTATCTCCCTGAATTCACTTCACCCATTCATCAGGCCTCATGTTGGTATCCAAAGTCTCCTTTCTTTCTCTAAAATTCTGTATCCTTTGGTACATCCCCTTCCAGTGAATTAATTTTCATAGATGTTACTATGGTACCCTCTTCTGAGTGTTGAAAGAAATCCACTTTCTGGTAATAATGTTCCTAATGTATTCCAAACAGGTATAGCATGAAACTGCATCAGAAAGTCAAAAGTATGCACAGGAACTCAGCATTTTCTTTTCCTCTTCTGGTAGAATCCACCTTATCACCCAACTTTTCATCCTTTTCTTGTTTCTCTTCTTGCATAACTATGATATACACAGAGGTATTCCTGCAAGTACTCAGCAGATGGGGTGGCATTTTTTTTCTGCCCAGTGGAAGGACCAGAAGCAACAGACACAATTTGGAACACAGTAAATTCCAGCTCAATAAAAGAAAGAAAAAAAAAAAAACCCAAAACTTATGAGGACTGTCAAACACTGGAGTAAGTCTCAGATGATGTGGAATCTCCATTCTTGAAGATATACATTTGGCTCTATCCAAATACAAGTTCTTCAAGTAAGTTCAACTTGCCAAGCAATTTAACAGTTACTGATCTCTTTCTATCATTAAAATTACTATGACATTAAAACTACAACTTTTAGAGATTTATTAGGAGCAATATATTCTCCCCAAGAATCAGCAAAGACAATGACCAAGAACCCCCTGCCATGCAGCCTTAGGGGAACCTTCCTCAGGGTTTGAAAGTTCCCCGTTTACTGACAGTTTTTTTGGATTCATTAACCAATTTTAATACAGTTAACATGAGTTACAACAAATATCTTTAAGAAAAATCAATCTGATTACAAGACAGTATCACTAGGATCAATTTTAAGTGAATCACCCTATAATTAACCTATGTCCTGATCAGGTTTTTTTCTACATATAGGCAAGGCATCTGATTTTTCTCATTCCCTTTAGACTTGGGTTATTTCAACATTGGTTTAAAAACAAGAGGTCACCAAAAAAAAAAACTCCAAGACTGAAGTGCAAAAACAATTAAATGAAGATTTTCCTATGCTAACAGGTTCTGCCAATTTCTGAAGTGTTTATTAGCCACCATTTAACATAATCCAAATATAGACACAATAAAGAAGAACTGAATTATCAGTGTAGAATGATTACATCATCTAAAAAAAAAGCAAAGCCACAACAACTGCAGAATATTTCTATATTGTAGATGTAGCCTTGGCATTTATCCACATCCTGTTCTCTCCATGACAACTACAATTTCTTCTAATAAACAATAAAAAGTGGGCAAGACTAACACCCCCAGTCTATCATTTTATCTAAAATTATATTAGATAAAAATTCTAACTCACAGATACTTTCAACAGAATTGGCTATACCAACTCTCTGTATTTCATATTAAAAAACAAAAAAACCCTGTGACATAGTTCCTCACCTATTTAACTGCAGGAACTTGTGAAGCAGGAGACATATTCCAGACAAAAAGACTTTTTGTCTGGCTATTTCCTCCTTAAACAATTTCCCAACCCTTAGTTTTACTGTAGTGTAACAGTCTAATCTCAGATATTTAAAATGGTATAGATTATCAATGATATTTGAAAGTTGATTTTTTCAGGCACTATAAAAATATTACTAATTTATAGCCAAATAATATCCACCAGGTTACCATCTCCAATTCTGCCAAATTTACAGTTAGTGTTTTAGATTTGGACTATTTAAGTTTAAAATGCATTCAAGATCAAAAGTTACTTGGTCCATTGGAAGAAAATATTTAAGCTAAAATAAATTTTAAAATACAAAATTTATTGTAATATGCAGAAAGAGATTCTATGCTGCTTCTGGGCATCTTTTGCAAAAAGCTGTTCTCCCCGTGCTCCACTCACAAAAGAGATAGCCAATTAAGAAAAAAAAAAACAACAGGTAGAAACTAGACATTAAATCATAAAATGTAATAAAGGTTATCAGAAGGTTACTAGACCGCCCCTCTCCTCTAAGATGAGACCACACATGCTCATGCGTCTTACTACTTTTTATGAACTTCCAAAGACAGACATATGCTCTTCCCAGTCTATTGCGGTGCTTCACAAGCCACACTGCATTAATCTCCACCGGTAAAGATGTAAGCTTATTAGGTTTTGTGGTGTTCCAAAAGACCTAGAACAGCAGCACTTATTTTCTGTATTAAAGCAGCCTCCATTTTTAAAACCTCTCCTCATAGGTTTTGGATCCAGTGTTCTGATCATCGGTACTATTGTCTTCTGGACTCTCCCATTTGGCAAGGTAATTTTGATTTGTTTGCATGTATTAAGTGCATGGCTCAAAAGCAGATGCAATGAGCTAGTTGACTCCATTTCTACCCTACATTAGGCAGAGGGATTTATACAGCGTTCTATGACAGTGCTTCCATTTATTTATCCTGGTATGATGTTACATTTCCAGAACTTTTTTTGTGCATGATACTGTTGACTTAAGGTCAGCTCTTAATCTTTTTTTTCAGAACTCTCAGCCATTCCTTATTCTGTATTTGCCTATTTTATTTTTCTTTAATTTAAAAGCAGTATTTTAAGCTTGCCCTTAATGGCTTGTATCCCATTTTTTCCAGATCATTCTAATTTGTTGGTTCATGTTAAATTCTAATCCAATCTTCCAACTTCTCTGCAGTGTCTCAGCCTGGTATCATTTTTCACTGCAGTAAACATGCAAGTCAATGGATACATTAGTAACCTCTTTTCTTGAGAAGGAAAAAGACATGAAAGATTGTTGTTTGTGCTGCTGCATCAGAACTGACTTATATAGAATGTACTTTTAATAAAAGAATATATTTCAGAGAGCCAGCCAAGCAATAAGCCATCTTTCAACCAAGAATCCAAGCTAAATGACTACCAGAATAAAACAGTGGACTGAAGCCGAATGTTAGAACAAGAAACAGACTTTGCTGATCCCCAGGCAAGAAGGAAAGTAGTAAGCAAGAGAGATAGATACTCCAGAAACACAGATGGATGGTCCAGCTTTGATCCTGATAAAAAGGGCAGGGCTAGATCAGCAACATACCCTTCTGAAATGACATTTTCCTTTTCCATCAGGAATCATGTGTTGATCGATTTAGATATGTAGAAATAAAGAATATCTATCCAAGATTTCAGGTGCCCCTACAATAAACCTTAAAACTCAAAATATAAAGACCTTTTGCAGAGATTAGTTTATCTTCAAAAGCCTACCACAGATAAATGTAACTTACAGTATGTCCAAGTAAGGATAAGAAAGTGGTTTAGAACGTAATAAAAAATGCCCAGTTGACCTTTCTTTTTTAATAAACTACAAAACTGCAGTTCATAGATGGAATGGATTAAACCAAGTGTGAAATATGATGTGGAAAAAAAAAAAAAAGGGAAAGACTACCATGGCAATGTTTTTACATGTGAGAAGCATCAAGAAAAAATATTAAACAGGTAGATGGATTAAATACAGTTTTTCCCAGCCAGACTCTGATAGCAGAAAATAGTTCCGAATGCAGTTTGTTATGCAGTCTGACAGGAAGCAGGGATCCAACACAATCCATAGATTGCATAATCAAGTAATGTGGGAAAGGTATCGCCTTCGTTCTCTTACTTGGTTACTTGCCTCAACCTACCAGCACTACCTAGATCTTACCTAGATATTAAGCTCAAATCATCTTTCCTCCACTGCTCAATCTCCCTTAGTAGTTTAGCAATGCATACAAAACTACTGGCTTAACTAGTGCTCCAGACACTGCAGTTTATAGACCTGCACAAATCCTCTTAATTATCCTCCTGCACAAACTGAACAGAAAAGGCAAAAAGAGGTTTCATGCAGTTCTCAACCACTGTGCTTTGTCCTTGCTAAAGGAAGGACTGCATGTCTACAAAAGATGCAACCATTGCCACAGTTTACAGACAAATCAAGATAGTGTGAACACAGTACAAAACGAAGTATAAAAGCTAAGTATAAAGCAAGCATCCAGGTTCACACTTAAACCAAAAAAAAAAAATTTTAATTTACAGAACTGTAAACTAAGATACAGACAAATTGCTGTATTATCTAACATCACGTACAAGGGACCAGTCAATTCTAATAAGAAGTGAGGTTTGGACAAATCATGGAAGTTCTTCATATGTACTTTTCACTCATTTCCAGGGCCTGGAGCACACAGATATTTCGCATGGGGCTGGGGCGGAGTGGCGGGGGGAAGACTATTACAGATTTTTCGAGTTATCTGCTAAGATTTTTTCCCTCCAAATCATTGTTTCTATTCAGTATCGACAGGTCACTCCTACTAACAGCAACAGTTGGGAGGGATCTGGCAAGATTAGCCAGTTCTAGTCTAAAGCTCTCACAGAAGCCACATCTGTTCTTCTCCAAAGTCAAATCATCTATTTCCAGTCTAGCAACTTCAACACAGACCACAAACTGCTGGACAGATCCACTGACTGGCTGCTGCCTGAAGGGACAGGTTATGCTCCCACGCTCTTTGCTCCTGCCTGCAGAGTCTCATTTCTTCCTTTGCAGCACTTTAACACTTTCTGAACACTTATCTGAGCTGATCCAATCCACAAACCAAGAAACAAAACTAGCCAGCAAAACCCCGACACCCGCTGGGAGCTGGCCGAGCTGGTGAAGCGCAAGCAGGAGCTGGCGGAGACGCTGGCCAACCTGGAGCGGCAGATCTACGCCTTCGAGGGCAGCTACCTGGAGGACACGCAGATGTACGGGAACATCATCCGCGGCTGGGACCGCTACCTCACCAACCAGAAGAACTCCAACAGCAAAAACGACCGGAGGAACCGCAAATTCAAGGAGGCTGAGCGGCTCTTTAGCAAGTCCTCGGTCACCTCAGCAGCGGCAGTCAGTGCATTAGCTGGAGTTCAGGACCAGCTCATTGAGAAGCGGGAGCCGGGCAGCGGCACAGAAAGTGACACTTCTCCAGACTTTCACTGGGTTTGTGAGATAAATCAGTTAACC